AATAAATAAGATAAAACATTACATAAACTTTAGTAAATTTGGGACATATTACAATGCTAATTCCTAGAAGAATTTAATCAGGTTTAACTGAAGATTTGACTGAAGGAGAAATAAGATCTGTAAACAATCTAGTCAAATGCAAACTATGCAACTGTGAACATAATAGAATGTAAAATTTAATTATATTTGTTTATCAACTTAAAATTCTCCTGCATGTTCCCATTTTGAAGTTTAGATGCATTTATGTAAGATTCCTAAGAGAGAAAGAAAACCTGTATTTGTTTAAAATTATCAGAACGTCAGAGAAAATGGAAAAAAGACAAGACACCTGGTACTAATATGTTAGAGCTAGGGTCTTTTACCATTCTTTTGATGAAATCCATTTATAGTAAAGCTCTGATACCGTAATTACCAATTCCTCAAAAGTATAATAAGATCTATTAGCATTTATAATGAACTCTGAAAGATTTTTAATAAAGATATAATGTAATCTTTTAAAAGAGTATTAAAAGTGACTATTTGAGATATGTTTGGGTTTGGACATATAATCAATAATAATCTGCATTCAAATAATTCTTTAAAATACCTTCAATCAAACATATTAAAGATTCAGTGAGCGAGATGAACTACACTTGGTGTGTATGTGATTCTCCAAGACATGCTATTACAAACCAAGAGCATGATCAATTCTGTTTGTACTTAAGTCATTTGCATACCTGAGATATTGGTGGTCACATTGATGGCTGTGGCTGGACCAAAGCCTTTGACTGTGCTGGCTCTTATGAAAAACTGGTATGTGGTTCCAGGGTGGAGATGCATAAACACATGGTGTGTGCTGTTCCATAAATTTGATACAGTCTGGGGAGGTCCAGCCACCGGAACTGCAGGATCAAATGATCTTATGCTGCTATAGCTGATCTGTTTTAAGAAATATATTTCCTATTACCTATATATCCAATATAAGTAATAATAAACTGTAAATAAACCCTTTTAAAATAAGGCAGTGTGAAAGGGTGTCCATGTGGAGTCAATCATAACTTTTTTCCACATCTTTTCCTTCTCATTTTAATATGGTTATTCTTATCATTCTGCATTTATCTCTCTCCCTCTATCATCTTCCTACCTATAGATACACCTAGAGTTATATCTGACCAGACCAATATACATCTATTTTCTTCCACCAAAAAAGTCA